ACACTAGGTTACTATAATGTTAAAAAGTACTATGGATACTAAATTTATTGCAAATTATGACTAAATGACAGGAATATATTTTTTGTTTATTGTAAGAACTCACAAAGCACTTTTTTAAATGAAGCTGAATTTTTAAGAACTTTATATTTATTTTCTTATTTGTCATTAATCGAAACACAGCCAGTGCACTAAAATAATACAAACCATTTCATATATGAAATATAGTTACAATATTATATATAAGTTAATTAGTAATGGAAATACCTGCCTATAGGTCCTGAGCTAGAACTATTTTATGTTAAATTATATTTAATTGTTAGAGTATATTAACAATTGCATATATTATAGTATTATATTACATTATATTATACTACAACAATTTTTACCATGTATTTACTTCAGTTTAGGATCTTGTTACTTAGTTTACTCTGTTTATATTTTAATGTACTAACTGTTTATGATTTTAATAAGTTTATTCACATTGTTTATAATTTTTGTCTAAATAATATGTAACTTCCACAATTCTCTATATCTTTTTGTATCTTGTCCGTTGTAGTCCTGAAGAAGACCTATCCAAAGTCGGGTCGAAACGTTGGCTTTTAATAAAATAGTTTTGCCACTATTTAGTCTATTTATGAGCCCCACCCCGGACCATCTCCTACCTTAAATTGTATTTATATTAACACGGACTTGATTAGAACTAACAAGAAGCTTGAATGTTCGATGCGAATATACAAGGAGGTGTCTAAAAAAAAGGTGCTGGATGGGAAATATCCTTGCTTGATATACTTGATGAGAAATATTAATCAATTAACGGACCCATTTAATTATCTCTATGTGTCAATGTATAGACTAGCTCAAAAACGACAAGTCCTCCGAATGCTTGGGATTTTGAAGCTATGTTTTCATAACTATGAGCTATTAAAATTTGTTTTTAGTTACTAAACCTACACCCCGCAAGGTAAAGGAAACCATGTCAAATTTTTGTTTTTGTTCAGGGGATCCAATTTTCCATAATTATGATTATTAAAGTTTGTTCCTTAGTTACTAAATTATCTAATATTTAAGGTACTTGGTTTCGTTTGTTTCTGGCGCACAGATGTCTCCCGTTCCGTAGTTGAACCTTTATTTGACGGAGGTCATTTCTTAACCCTGAAGGAAGCTATCATGCCATCAAAACTCTAAAATAAATGGATACTAAAATGTGAATTAATGCCACTTAATTAACTATGATCTATACCTCATTTAATGGCAGAATAACCTTTTGCTCGATTTTCATAATGCAAGTGATGGGACTGAATGCGGCCATTTTTTAAGCACTGATTGCGGAACAGCCTGAAATAACCTTATATTTTTTTATGTGAGCTATTCGTTATTCTCCTCTCACGTATTACTAAGTGGTTTCTCTCGTCCTGTCATATCGCTGCGTTAGTATGAATTTCTTAACTCATTCATCCTCCTTTACATAACAGATATAAAAAAAAATTATAAACTTTAGCAGTACGAAAAAAATTGATTGCCAGTATTCCGAATTGAGCGTATCGCAATGTTAAAACACTGAACTAAGAAGGAGTTATGAACTGTACAAACTTATATAGAATTGTTATTTTAGAAATGAATTTATTAAAATTTGATCTGATATACCCTCAATCTAATAGGCATAGAATGTATAAATATTGTTTAACATGTTTTTGCTAAAAATTATTTTTTCTATAATTCGTTTTTTAAAATCTTGTCAATGTATACATTTACAGTAGATTTGTTTTCCTTTTTTTTTTTTTTTTTTTTTTGTAGCTCACCTTTGTTCTTTTTGTGATATATTCTCTATTTTCTATTTTGAATCCTTGCTGAAAAAGAATCCAAGATCGCTGAAACAACTGTATACATAATTAAAATAATATTGACTTAAACGTATTATACCATCGGATGGTATGTGTATTGATGATGCAGGATTACTTCATTAATGGTTTTTTAAATATATATATATAAATATTAATACATGTTTAATTTTGATACTCATTCTTATGTGTCTTACTGAGGGTAAGTTATCATTAGATTTTTTTACAACAATTCTACCTGTTCAATTTACGGCTCATATTTCTAATCAGAACAGAACTAAAATAAATCTATGATGATGGATTGAAGGTTGCATGTAGTGTATAAATAAAGATTGGTTAAGATGATCAGCATAAGTATACTTATTTATTTTTACTTTTTTTTTTACATGGAATCCTCATACCAGACTGAAACGACATGAAACCTCTCGACTTTTCTGACTCATTTAGCACTTACTAGGCAAACGCTCTAACCTTTCAATTAATTACAAAAGACTCATATACATGGCCATAATAAGACCTATTTGGACTTACTGAGTTCAGTCCTCTTATCCCTTTAGAACAAATCCGATACCTAGGAGTCCCCCTGGACAAACGTCTCACTAGGAACCGCCATACCAGACTGAAACGATTAGAAACCGCCCGACGTTTTCGACTACTGCAGCACTTACTAGACAAACGCTCTAAGTTTTCAATCAATTACAAACGACTCATATATTTGACAATAATAAGACCTATTTGGACTTACGGAACTGAGCTTTGAGACTCCACTAAACCATCGAATTCCTCTCGTATCCACTCTTAACAAATCCAAAATCCTTCGTAAAATCCTTAATGCTACTTACTTTGTAACAAATAAAATAATCCATAATGACCTGAATGCTCCATATGTTTCCGATTTGGTCCAATCCAGATACCTATCCTTCCATAATAAAGTTCAGAACCATCCTAATCCTCTCGTTTCTAACCTTGCTTCCTCCTCGATCCCTGATAACCCTCCTATGCGTCTGAAAAGAAGATGGCCCTGTGATCTCCTAATTTAGAAACTTTATTAGGGTGCTACCAATGGGCCGATTCTCTACAAACCTTGCCATGTCATGTATTTATCTGTATCACATTTGCTGAATGTATATTAAACTTGCAGTTGTAAATTTCATAAATAATAATACAATTTTTTTTTACTTATCACTCTTATAAGTCTCTTCATTTAAAATAAATCTAATAATAATCTCTGTTAAATGTGCGTTAGGAGATATCTTTCCAAATCATTGATTCTTTTACAGGTTATAATTTATGTGTCGGCTGCAAATGTGAAGATTTCTTCCTATAGGTAGGAGAGAAAGAATAGGCCTCTATCGTCACTGACCAGAATCTAATCCGTAATGGTACTCTCTATTAAGTCGTTCATTCACCCCATCTTCGACCGACACCCCAGAATCTCTTTGGTATTCCATCGCCGTAATCAGGAAACAACGCCGAGATATGTTGCGCAAGGAGAGATCCTTGGGCTCAAGTCCACTCCTATGTATAAGGAGATGACACCAACTTGCACAACCGCGATGGAAACTTGCGAGAAAGTAGGCGAGAGTATCGGAACCCGGCCTATATCCTTTTGGTCCAGTCCGCTTTAGGGAACAGTTTTCCAGATCCGTCTCGTCGATCCTTTTCTCCATGGAAGATTGGACCACGGGGAGAGTTTTAACTTTAATTTACTTGCGGCAACGTGTACACTTAAACATCGGTTTGCCAAGTGGGAATGAAGTAGGATTGTCTTTTTTATGCAGGACTTTTAAGTTAAACCGTGATAATGAAGCAGAGAAAAATATTAGCAGTCGCTTTACGAATTTTAGCTTTGTGCTTCTGCTGCCTAATTCCGTATTAATTAAAGTACAGAAATGTACATATAAAATAATGTTAGGTGTGAAAGAACATCAAATGAAATGCAATTGCAATTAAAGAATATAATTTATGTGTTGACAAAGGAAGACGATTTATGAATCGAGATAGACGCGGTTTAATACTTTTACTAGGATTCTTTGAAACATTAATTATATAAATTGTTGTCTCGTGCGTCAATGCGCTTTTTGAAATTCTATCTTGAATTGATAACAAACAATGTGGTCTTAGGTAAAAAATATTTTTATAAAATTTTATATTATTTTTAAGGCATTGCACATGTTTTTTTTTTAAAATGAGGTTGCCATAATGTAATATTACAAAGTAATATAAGTAGTAAAGTAGAAGGCATACATTAATTAAATATTGTACCTAACTGACAAAGAATAAATCGTCGTTTTACTGCAAAAATTCACTATGTACATTTTAGATGGTGATGAACTTTTGAAAACGATTTTGAACTTATCCATAGATAAAAAACACATTAAGTGCGCCAATAAAATCACACAGATCTTATGCATCGTTGTAAGGATTGGCAATAACATTATTATATCGTCGGTTTATTATTTAGTACTTCATAACTTAATCACTAGGATTTTTTATGAATTTCACTTAGCAAAATCAGAAAATTTTTGTACTAATTTTGATGAAATAGTTCGTGTCATTTTTTACTGATAAATAATGTTGACATTTTCAAAAACATTTTTTAAAGATCATTTCCATCAAAAATGTACTCAGTGATTTTAAGCAATAAATCGACTACATATAATTTCATTGTTATTCGTTTAATCAACAAATAAATAATATATCAACAACTGTTTTCAGTGTGGCAAGAACGAAGCAATTCAATCTGTGAATATTCCGTTAGTTCTATAGTTCTATACATAAACGTATTTGAAGGAATATAAAATAATTTTTTTTTAATTTTATTTATTTGCCAAAGAAATGTCTGTACTAATAAATAATGAGGTATTATAAACCATATTAAATTTTCAGTCTAGTTCTGTGTTCAAACATAATATTAACAAAAAATACACGGCATTAAATATGACTCATAACGAATTAGCAACAATATATATAAATATATAATTAGTAAAACAATTTTTTAGTAACAATTTTTTCTATAAATATTTTAGAGATATTAAATAAATAACAATATATATATGCATTGCCATTTTTCTATTGTGATTAATTATACTACTTAACAGTTTATTGAACATTAATTTATGAAATAATATACTTGATTTAATTTTTCAGCACTGTCAATTTTCAATATATCTTCGATGGTACTACCGTCACTGGAACAAATTGGCTCAATGAATGAAATAATTCACATACTTCGTTAGATTTAATAATTATAGGTATGATTGTGTTTAGAAGTTTTTATTTTATTTTATTTTTTATTTAACTTCTTCACCAGTATTATTTATTTACTTTTTATATTTATATTTATTTCTCTATGAATGAGAACTTTTAGCCCAAATGCTTATAGCCCTCCAGCAGTGGCTGATTGTATTATTATTCAATAAACAGATTAAAAAAAAAAAAAAAAAAAAAAAAAAAGATTTAATAATGAGGGAAGCACCTTTTATTTATCACTTTTACAAACTCATTGCTTGCTACTCAGAGACGACAGATCGCTCTTATTTTGTTCAAATTTAGAGCCTTAAACTGCAAATAGTCTTCTAAACCTGGATGGTATTTAAGAAGCAGATATTTCTATATCATGGCTATAAAGTATCTTGAATATAAAATAATTTCTAATATATTTAAATAAATAAGTCCCAGTAAAACCAATCGAAAATTAAAATTTTTATAAAAAATAATTTGATACAATGATTGTTAAAAAAAAAATAAGACAATTTGCTAATATTTCTTTTTTGCATTTTAGGGAAGCCTGCCATGTTACTCAATCAGAAAAGCCATCATATTTCGTATAATAAAAAATATACAAATAAAATAAGAAATTTATATTCATAATTGACAAGGTAATTAGCAGGGTACATTAGAAATAATGAATTAATTCCAGTCCCAAGAAGTTTCAATCCTAAAAGCTGACTGAAAATTCATAATTCCGGATCCGAGAAAATTCCAGGAAACACTTTACTGTAGCGAAGTTGTGTTTTAACGATCCTAACTTATTCATTCTCCAGGAGGTTGAAAAGGGCGGTAAGTACATCAAAGGAGATTTTAATTGTATTTCTTAGCTTGAATGGCAAATTAATTAGTTTTTAACATTATTTGTAACTGAGAGCCATTTCGAAGTGAAATACTCGACATTTTTTCTTTCTTTTTAATAAACTTTTTCCTCTTGGTATTGATCTGCTCTGTCTAAATGTTTTACATGGCCTTTACTTACATTACATTACTCTTACTGTTATGTTGCTTTTAAGTGGTGATGGAATTTTCGTGCAGTTAATTTACTCAAAATGTAAAAAATAGTACTGTAAGATATCTAGAATAATTTTTTTTTAATTTTTTTTTTATTTATTCATGATATTTACAACTGTATTAAAAAAATTAAATACATTAAGTAAATTTGATTAAAAAAAATAATAACATGAAATGACTTGTTGAGAAACTACCCACTGGTAGCACTCTAAAAACAAAATGTATTTACAATAAGAGATCGCCTCGGAGGGTTATCAGGAATAGAAGAGGAAGCAAGGTTAGAGACGAGAGGATTCGGATGGTTCTGAAGTTTATTATGGAAGGATTGGTATCTGGATTGGGCCAAATCGGCAACGTAAGGAACATTACGGTCATTATGGATTATTTTATTGGTGACAAAGTAAGGAGCATTGAGGATTTTCCGAAGGATTTTGGATTGTAAGGATTGGATACGAGAGGAATTCGATGGCTTAGTGGAGCCCCAAAGCTCAACTCCGTAAGTCCAAATAGGTCTTAATGTAGTCATGTATATAAGTCTTTTGTAATTAACTGGAAGCTTAGAGCGTTTGTCAAGTAAGTATTGGAGTAGTCGGAAACGTCGAGCGGTTTCTTGTCGTTTCAGTCTGGTATGATGATTCCCAGTTAGACGTTTGTCCAAGTGAAGTCCAAGGTATCGGATTTGTTCAACAGGGATAAGTGGGGTATTATTAAAGGATACTGTGGGACATGAGGTCAAATAAAATTTTAAAATCTTTTAAATTCCAAGCTTATAAATTAATCAACCTAGGGGGCCTGATTTCCTATAACTCCATTGCCTCCTAGTTTTGTGGATTTCCAAAAATTCATAAACCCCTCCTTGGTCACATCTAGTATTAATTCTCCCTTATTTAAACTCAACAGATTCCTATTACTTTCTTTACAAATCTTCAGTTATAACAACCTATATTATATTCATAATTCCTTCCACCTCCGGAAACAATTCATTTCCTTTATTACTCCTGACCACTTCATTCTTACGTCCTTTGACTTCGAAAGTGTATTCACTAACATCCCCATAGACAATAATTGTATAATATAAGTATAATTTATATAATTGCGCCATAAAATTTTTTGAGAGGGCATATTTTGACTGTTTTTTGAATTTTTGAGGGGAGAAAATTTCGAGGGGATTAATAATTTTCGGACTAAGGGACAAGGAGAAAAACATGGAACATACCGTACTGTAATTGTATATGATCTACGATATTTCTCACTCTACCTTATCTTTCTCTGTTTTTAAGAAAAGATAAGCAATAAAATAAGAGACCGGGGTGGCTCAGCGGTAGGATTCTATGCTTCCAATGCTAGAGGTCCCAGGTTTTTCCCCCCAAAACTCATAATCTTTGCATTTCTAGAAGAAATTCATTACAATCAATTTGAAAGACCATCAAATTTCCTATTTATCTCATGTAGAAACGTTAATATGTGAGAGGGCTAGTTAAGATGTTAAAGCAAATGGAATCGAAGGTGTATTTCACCCATGAATCTGCCTCTCTCAACTTAAATACTTTTTGAATATAAATAGTTGACCGTTACATTACAAAGGAAGGAGATGGTCCCCGGGTTGCGTTCATGAATAGTGGTAAAACTATTTTAATGGAAGCCGACGTTTCGACCCGACTTTGCAGGTCTTCATCAGGGCTAGAACGGACAAGATACAAAAATATATAGAATTGTGGCAATTACATAATATTTAGACATAATTTATAAACAATGTGAATAAGCTTATTAAAATTATAAACAGTAAGTACAATAAAATATGAACAAAGTAAGCTGAGTAACAAGATCCTAAACTGAAGTAAATAGATGCTAACAATTGTTGTAGTGTAATATATAATAAATGAAAATATGAATTTGCTTCTACAAAATCTAGAGGAGATAAATAAAATTAGAGACTTACAGGTGTGCTCATCTAAGAGTTTCACTTAGATCTGGAAAGGCAGCGGTAAGGATAGCAGGTATAGGGGAAGCTAACATGTGTTAACTGGGTAATTGGGAAAAAAACCTAGAAAATTACAGTATCTAAAAATTTTGAAGATATGGATGGGTACAATGGAAAAATACTATATCTATGAAATATTAAATTATAAATATATAAATATACATATAAAATAGAGTTGAGAGATTCTAGATCAGAGTACAATGTGAATAAACCCAAAATTGGCAAAAGTAAAATATAAATATAGAAATAACTTCATTTACATACATACAATGCAGATAGTATAGAGCAAAAAGTATAGAGAGGGAAAAAATTAATAATTATAATTATATTTATAATTGGTAATTGGTTGACTGTCGTGGATAATGAAGAGAAGAATAGTTGGGATGGTCAGTCAAAAAGGAAGGCAAAAATAAATGATAATATTTATTTTTTACATATGCCGACGTTTCGACCTGAAGTTCAGGCCTTCATCAGGGCTAAGAAAATAACCAGATAACAAGGTATAAGAAACATAAGTAGTGATGGTAAAAAAAAAAAAATAATTAAAAATAAAATAAAAAAATAAAATAAATAAATATAAAGTAAAATGAAATTGTTAGAATAATGACTAAGAACTAAGAGGTAAATAATAATAACCGTTACAAAGTATGGAATGATGAAGTAGGCATAATCAAAAAGGGTGACATAAGTGTTTTCTTAGCCCTGATGAAGGCCTGAACTTCAGGTCGAAACGTCGGCATATGTAAAAAATAAATATTATCATTTATTTTTGCCTTCCTTTTTAACTGACCACCCCAACTATTCTTCTCTTCATTATAATTATATTTGGTTGTACATATGTAAGAAAATTATATTTGAATATTAGATAATATTGAGACATGGTTAATAAGTAAAATTAATACAAAGTGGAAAAAGGATGATCATAAATTGATGTAGATTTTAATAAGCGTATTCACATTGTTTATAAATTATGTCTAAATATTATGTAATCGCCACAATTCTCTATCTTTTTGTATCTTGTCCGTTCTAGCCCTGATGAAGACCTGCAAAGTCGGGTCGAAACGTCGGCTTTCAATAAAATAGTTTAACCACTATTTAGCCTATTTATGACCGCAACCCCGGACCTTCTCCTTGCTTTAAATACTTTTTATCTTTTCTATGCTTTTGGTTCGGCTAATTTAAATATATCTATAGCAGAACTAGAATATATAAACAAACAGTTTTTATGGTTTCATTACGGTCCGTAGCTCTTAGTCTAATGCCTTTCTTAACCGCTGCTCGTATCTTGAATCACTCAAACTTTGTTGTAAATTAGGCTTGTTTACTTTTTAAGGGCAGTTCTTTGCCCAAATTCCTGGATTAGCCATAAGCAAACCACTTGTTCCTGACTTCGACAACATTATTCTCAACGATCTATAATACTTGACTCTATTATCTCTCTGTTTCCTATGTTCTTTATTCAAAAACATGTAGAGGATCTTTCCTTAGTTCTTAATCCAGATAAAATTCGCGATATCCTTTCAACCTTCAGTTTCGACCACCCTCGCCTCAACTTTACTGTAGAATGAGAAATGAATAATTCCATGTGTTTTCTTGATCACATCATAAAAAACACTATCTAGCATCTTGAAATATTCTGTCCATCTATCTACCACCATATATTCGTTTAGCCATATAATTGATACTCATCGTTGTTTTCTTTCCTTAGATTTTACCACTTCCTTTCTCGTTCGCTTACTGTATTTTTCCATTTTTTTTGGGTTCCATTTCGCGTTTTCACTCATTTTGAGACTAAATACTAACAATCAGTTCCGGTTACCTAGAAGAACTCACAGCTTCGCTCTTTTCATCTTTCTTTGTGCAGAAAAAATAATGTGTTCAATATTAAAATTTCCTATTTTTTTTATGATATGGTCCAACTTAAGTACAAAATAAAGGAAACAAAAATAATTTTTTTATTTGTGATGGATGCATTATATATGATTCAGATTAAGTACATATTATTTTAGTATATAAAACAGGTATTAATATGACTCATTTCCGGAGAAGTTATACAATTTAAATTACCTCTAAGAATCAGTAAATATACAAAACTAAGTGTTAAATTGTAAACGTTAAATAAATAATTCAAGACATTGAGCAAAGTATTTTTGAATTAAGTTTTATTATTATAATTATATCATTATTACAATAGAGGCCTTCTTAAACGATCTCCATATAGAATAAAGGAAATTATATTAGAAAAAATAATTAAAAAAAAATTAATTAATTTTTTTTACAATTAATTAATTGCATTAATATTTGTTCGTAAATAAAAACAATCTAATGTACTAAAAACATTATTATAGAACTATAACTAAGCCATTTATGAGTACTGAACGGTGTGGTAGAGGCCTGTAGGCACCCACGCCAGTACCGTTTTTCTTTCGCTTAAGTGCATTTTCTACGGAACTACTTCAAATATTTCAAAAAGTAATCAGTGGTTTAGAAAGAGGAACATATTCCCCAGATGTGTTATTTTAGCACGTTTTG